TGTGTGCTAAACAAACCATGGCACAATAATCTTTATAAAAAAAAACGTTCCATGATTTGCATGTGGGAGAATACTGCTGGGTTGCCCAGGTCAAGGCAGGTGAATTTTTTATGAAGAATCCACAATCGGAGCCTTCGGCTAGCCAAACCCTGATCCGCAAGGCAGCGGGAGGTGTGCGAAAAAGTCATTCCATTAGGGGCTGGTGTTCAGTTCATCGGATCATACGCCCTTCAGACGGGGTCAAATGTCCAAGGNNTGCAAAGGAACTGGTAACCAGCCGCAACCCTAGACACCCACTGCCAACCATACTGAGGATTTCGGAAGCCCCATCTCGATAGAACTATTATTTCCCAGTCACTTAGAGTATACTGTTTATCGGAATCCGGTTTTATCCGTCCGTTCCTCCTCTTTTTTTATACCCCGCATCCTCATCAGGGCGCGCTGGACCGCACAATGGGATTCTTGTTCGTGGGCGATCCGTTTTCCACCATTTCACCTTATAATGCTATGTGGTCGCACTACCCATCCGTTCTCCCGACCAATGTGGGTCTGTTCGCCTCGGTAAGTTACTTGTTACAAATCCAATTTGTGATCCCGTGATCGTGTTCGACTGAACCAATTTGCTGTGACTTTTGACCACCGGAGCGTGTCACGTATTTCTAGGTATGATCAGAAACCAAATAATGAATAATAGAAATCCAAATAATAGTATCGATAACATTAATTGTTTTCGGGATTTCGTCCTGTACAAAACCAAACAAATTGCAAATATTACCACGTTTTGCACTGGGTATACGACGACGACGATGGGGACAACAGCGACGATCTTGTCGAATCCGATCGTAGTGTTTTTCTGTCGTTATTATTGCTTCTTTTGTCGTGCAGTGTCATGTCATTGTGCCATTCCCTATCCATCTCTGCATGGCCTTCCCCCAGTGCACGCATGACCCCTTATTCCCGTGAGTTTGAACCGCCAGTAGACAGCTATCCATTCGTTCGTCCCACAAGCGAGAACGGTCATCGTTCTTGGTGCACACAGTTAACCGTCCCCACCGCCTGGGTCGCTATTGTCATTGTGTCGTCTGGATAACATTGAGGCTGTTCTGCCTGCAAATGCGGACTCACAGGTGTTGGATACCGGAATGCACGTTCGCGGCCCCGGTGACCAGTCAGATGTGTATGAACTGCTGCAGTATGTGCTCTAATCCGCTCTGTGGTCCATTTCTCTTGCTACTCGAACGAACATACTCGTTCCGGTCGGCAGTGTTTTTCTTATTGTTGTTGTTGGTGGTGGTGGTGGTGGTGTTGGTAATAACTGTCTTTATCTCAGGCCTATCGGATCTTCACTATTTCATAAAGTCCCATCGGGTGCATTTCCCGTCCACTGTTATGCACCACGGCTCAATTTTGGGACCAATAACCGACCAACACATTTTGGTGATCACGTTGAGTCCGAGTGCTATGCGCATTCCAATGCCGTTTTCGTTCTCTGTGTGTGATACTGTTCGCGACTGTCTGTCTAAGTGTGTTTGATGTTCGGTGGTTAGCTAGTCGATATATATATCCCATTGTTCGGGTGAAGTATGACCTCACTTTCCCCCATCTACTCTTCTCGTGTTCTGTCGTCGCTGATATGCCCTGGTGTATTCAGTTTTGTACTAACCTCACTCCTGCCCAGCCCTTCGAATCCTCGTGGAGGTTTTTGTATGTGCAGGCCTTTGGGGGAATATGTTTGAAATGCATTAGGTAAACCCCTATTTCAAAGGTGGCTTCGTCGTGTATATAGCGTGCATTGGAAACCTAGGAAATACCACTGGAACAGCTGTTTCGACCTGGGTGTCATCAACGCAGTTCGCGAATCCATCGTCCCAACTAGGGATCGCGAACCCGGGACCTCACAGGCAGAACGCAAGCGTGCTACTCACTCGGCCACCCAGGAGCAGCTGATCAGACCGTTTTTTCATTTTCAATTTACACAATATAGCACAACCCATCTTTGCGAGAGATGACAAACAGCATAGATACGCGCACATACAGGTATGGTCAAATCACTATATTGCATCGTCATTGTTCGTGTGGACTGCAATACTATTAGCCATATGTCATAAGTGCTGATTTGTGTGATGCACAGCAGAGGGGGGAAACCTCATAGTCACGAGGAAATGCTGATGTTCAGTGATGGAAGCCGGTAACCCGCTTCCCGGGACTTGGAGTGGCGAACCCGTCGCTAGGCTGGGCTGTGGTGTAGAATCGGACGACAGCAAAGCTACCTACTACCAAAGTTAGTTGGTTATGGCGGGGCTTGAACCTCGGACCGTAGCACGCAGGTGAAAGTGACTAAACCACTGCGCCACCACCAACCAATCATTTGTGGTTACCTCCCTTATCGGGCTCCTATTGTCCTTGCCCGAACGTACCGGGGCAGCATATGTCATCTATCCCGGATCCTCATCGTCATCATCATTGTACAGTGAAATACAGTGAGGTGAACTTCACTGAATTCTCCCAGACTCGCAATGCATATGCGTTGGAGTTTGATGGACGAGTACTGCAAGGGTGTCCAGCCACTATCCCGGGTCGTCGCGACTTGATGACAATGGGGCGGCTTTTGTGAGCGCACGTACGCACACAAACACAGACCCCGTATCTATTCCGACCACAATTTTACTCGCGACGACGCATTTCACATTTCCCCTGATGGCCATCCTCCAGTATTTTATCCCCACATTCACTCTTTGAATTTGCTCACACTCGTTTCATGTTGGTCTATGTTCAAGTTCTTTTGCTCATGTTTGCCATTAACGGGCTCAATCTGTCCAACTCGCGATACTTTTTTGTTTTCAGCAAAACGGAACGAAACCGATCGAGTATTTGGTCCGCACCGGCGCGGATGATATCATGAAGGTGGGCTCGATTATCGAGGTGGATGGCGAAACGTGAGTCCGCCGTGTGTGTGTGTGTTCGTTTATCACTCTCAGTTCGTGTGCTTCTCTATTCCCACCTTTGTGTGTTATCCCGGTTTGTTTTCGCTCACCAAGTATCCGTTGGCGTGATGTCCTAACATGTAGGAGATTGAACCCCCACCCCCACCGCGGGATCAGTGCACCGTAACCAGAAAAGTCCTCACAGATCGATAAACACACATACGTAGCAAGACGAATCTCGGAGAGGGGTGTTACTCTCACACTCAATGTACACATTCAGTAGGTGCATGTAGGCTAAACAAAACTCGGTTTTTCATCTGCGAAAACAGAGTCCCCATTCCAATTGTACACTAATCCTTTAATTTGGGTACAAAGATGTGACTAGACATCAAGACACACAAATGCACATTCGCACGACACAGTTTGTGTACCAACTGTCTCGCAGAATATATTCAATCGTTTCTGTATCCCGGGAGGAGGGGGGGGGGGTACGAGATGGCACTGTACAAGGGCTGGACAAAAAGTTTTTATTCGTTACACAAAAATATACATTAAATTTTCCTCGAATTATTCTCCATCAGCGTTTATGCACACAGTTCCACGCGCTCAAAACATTTGGTGAAACAGCTGGAGCGTGCCGGAGCGGGTAACCCTTCTGCCAGTCCATTAAAGGCGTCCACTGCATCAATTGGTAACTCATATCAGATTCCACGCATCATGCGCCTCACACTTTGGAACAAAAAGTCATACAGAGCCAGGTATGGACTGTAGTGTGGATGGACAACCTCCTGGATACGTTCTCTAGAGTCGCCGGAATTTAAGAGATGGCATCCCACCAACTGGCGTCCGCTGGGCCGGTTGTTCCTTGGTCTCTGGGTCGAAACTGTTCCTCAATGAGCTGATAGGATACCCAACGTGGGTAAATCTTTCTGAGGCCGATCGTCTCATATAGGGTTTTGCGGACTGATCCCGGTGGCCTTCATCAGCTGTGCCACTTTCACCCACGCCTCATCCTCTTCCACCATCGGTTGCACAGCAGGAATGTTGTCTTTTTTGGTGGCCTGCTCAAGCCGGTCACACCGTGTATCATCATCCAGGAATCGCCTACCATGCTTGAATTCTACAAACCACTCCTACACAGTGCTTCGTGAAAGCACGTCATCACTAATGGCAGCTTGGAAACTATCACTACTCTGCTGCTGCTATCTCTGCTTCAAATCGCATTTGTAGTTGTGGAAAATCATCGCCCCTCCAGTGACATCGACTGAGTTCCATCCTTACAGTCCGAGTATAGTGACTCTCGTATGATTTGTGAACCGTGCTCGTCCGTGTTGATATTCGGTTTTGTGTGAATTACAATCACTAAACACTATTCACAATAGTAGACTACAGTCCACGTTTTCCTCGCCCGGCAATCTGCACCTTGTACTCGTGTACTGTGTATCCGGAAGCGTTTTTCTCAGCCCTCATAAACGAGTACCTCAAGGGGTAAAATGGAACACCTAAAACACTATCTCTGTCGGTTTTCTGTTGGGCAAGATACGAACTACGTAGTCTTGTCCACTAAGATTTACTTTCTGATTTGGTCTTATGTGTTCTTGACGCACTTAGATCTGTTGTCTTGGGCACCATTTTGAAGCGGGCTTTTCTGTCTCTGCTTTACTCAGTTCAATCTAGGTCGTATTTAGATGACTATGACCTCATACTCGATTGCAATGACTCTCCGTATGTCTCCTTTCCTTCACTTTTCACGCAGCGAATTGAATGTGTGGGATCACAGAGAGGCTAATCTGATCAACGGAAGCGGTAAGTCATGTTCGTGTGCTCGATAGAACCTGGTTTATGTATGTGCGCTCTGTGATTGGATATCCACTGAGCGGCTGCATCGCGGATCACGCTCGTTCCCAACCGTCCGCGGACAAGATCATTCTTGTTTTGTCTAAAATCAACTACAAATCACCACAGTCCGTCCGGAGCTATCCGAACCATCTTCGTATGCGAGCGTCTGTTCAATGCCCGACGATTATATATTCTATATCACCCAGTCGAACGGGTGATTTTCTATCCACCAGTCCCGGAAGATGTTCATACACCTCATCTCGGGTGGTTTGGAATTAGAGTTTACCAAGTTTACTAGATGATGCAGGTGCCGATGTTTCGCCTTAATTAGAATAGCCCATCCACGAGACTGCTCCAGGACTGCTGCTGTCTTTGAGACAACAGTTGGGCGGTGGTGAACTTCGTTTACTCTAACATATTCACTCACGGCCATACTAACGATTTAGGGCAGTTTGATTGTAGGTAAAGTCGTACCGGGCGGCTTGCACGTTTCTCACAGTATCCGTAGAATTCTGTAACTTCGTGGGATTTACGACGGCACACGTTTTGTTGTTACTCTTTTTTTGCCCCTGTCACTCACTCTGTTTCGATCCCACACTCACCCACGCACTCGCATATTGTGTTTCAGACGGCAGCTCTGCTCCACCGGGCATGAAAGTTGGATCGGTTGTGAATTTCTACATCAAGGACATTTGTCGTTCCGTTGTCTCCTACGCGGTGGCAAAAACACATGCGATTAATCGTCCAGATTTGGAGGTATGTTCTCTCTAGTCCGCATCTCTGATCTTCCTCATTTCCTTGTATGTGCCTCATACGCGTTCCATGCTGCATTCCTCACAGGGCCCGGGATGTTCTGTTCATGCGGAGTTTAGATTCGCTTTTTAGCCTGGAAATTCGCATTATGAATCACACGCATCTGTTTGTGTGTGTGTGTGTGTGTGTGCGTGCGGGGGGAGGGGCAGAGGCATGCCTTTCCCTCTCCGCCCGTCTACCCCGTATTTCTAGTCGTCCAATACATTTTTCTTATATTTCCCCGCGGACACATCAGTACTATCATTGGGTCAATCTGGCAATCCACAATTCAATCACTCCCTCCGTTTTCTCGATCAATCCAGGCCCATATCTCTCGGCCGAAGCAGATAGTTCTTCTCATCAATTCTATCCCTTCTATTGCATACGGTGACAAGAACACAATTAAAGCGGGATTTCCCGCTGTCGACAACCAAGTGGTACGCACAGACTTGAATCCAGTCGAACACGAGGGTTATTCCACCGAGTAAACAGTGTCTCTGAAAACGATGAAATGATCTGTGTGTGTGTTTGTGAGAGGGAAAGAGGAATTTACATTCCCGGATGTGAATTGAGTTTGAGATATTGTTTGCACGTAACACCAACATGACAGTCGGTTTTTATATCTGACTAGGTGATGCCGAATGAATTGAAACTGCTACCAGTTGTAAGAAAAATTTGAATTTTAACAAGTCCGGTGACTTGGAGCGGCAATTCTCTGTCTCTCTAGAATCAGACAAATACTGAGTTGTCCACTCTAAGGCTCAATCTGTGCTTCTGGGAAAACAGTATTTTAGTGACAGGTGTCTAGTCCACGGGATTATTATTTTGGCTGTCATTACTAAATGAACTGTCGGTAGATCGTACCGGCCCGGTTATAGTCCTGAGTGATCGCTTTTAATACTCTCACTTTGGTGGTAAAACATCTCCGCTATGAGGAGATAGTGATTAGATCTTCCTCAGCCTAGGCTATTTGAGGTGCCTGCTCGTATAGAAGCATTTCGGGAGGTGCAAGGGAAGGGGCGATTAGCCAGAACCTCAGATACCCACTCCCGAACATACTAGGGCTTTTGGAGGCCTAAAACTTTGACCTCTGTCCGATATGCATTTTCCGTTTGTAAGCAGGATAAATGCATTGTTTTCTTTTCTATTTCTACTCGACTGACCACAATCTATTTTCTGCTTTCCCTTTTCCAGCTTCTGGTCTTCTCAGGTTCACCTCCGGATCCGCGGGATCCGACAAGTGATTGGCGTGAGCGCATGTTTTGTAAATCGGGATTCGGTTGCCCGCCGAAAGGGTTGCTCGCCTTGCATCCCTGTTTGGCCGCGGCTGGTGATGCTGTGCCACTGTACATCTCTCAACCGTACTTCCTCGGCGCAGATCCGCGGATCGCTCAAGCCTTCGATCAATTCCCAGACCCCATTCCCGAACGGCACTCCACATGGATACACATCGAACCGGTAAGCGATTCATTGATCGCGTTTTAGGATTGTTCAGTGTGGGTTGTGCGAAGGTGTTGGCGCTGTCTAAGTGTGGGTTCAAATCGCACCGAGGTTACTGATTGTTTTCACAACTCCAAGAGATTTTCTAGCATCCTGTCGGGGCACTTTTCCGTTTGCTCATGTCTTTCGGCTGCCTATCTGGTCTATCCGTGAGGTGAGAGTAAATGAAGGGTTTGCAAAGGTAGAGTGAGAACAGATGCCGATCGGTCAGATAAGCGTGGAAAATGCCTAGATGCGCTGATGTCTTTGTCTACAGTTCTCGGTGTAACTCATCCTCTTTAATTTGATTCCTCGTGGGGTCCCTATTATGATTTACTGGGTGAAGTCCTGTTACCAGATTGTTTTCGTTTCTATGACTGGATGGTACGAGAACTAGACAAGTAGTGTCGAGGTTTGACAAAGACTACCAGGTAGTCACAGTCACATACATACACATACGGAAGCAAATGCTTGACCAATGGTGGGGACCATGTGTTACGCCTGTTATCAGATGGTTACTGAAGTAAGCAGTGAGTGGGAGAAGTCAGATGCGCGCGACACACAGTTGAGGGGTGTATCACGCGGGATGCAGCAACCGGCTCCCAACCCGGTCAAAACATCCACTGTCGGTTAGAGAACACGATGAGGGCACTTGTTGTAGCCTATTAGTGACTGGTACGCTTATCATGCCTGGCTGTGGCCGATCGATTGAGTGACAGATTCTGTCCGATGGCACGCGTACGCACGCACGCGCGCACGCACTCACTCACCATGTGGACTGACTCCACTACGGTATCGATCGGCTGCAGCCAATCCGGTGTTAGTATTAAACTGTCCTCCCTGATTGATTGGTTGATTCGCTGTTTTCAATACCAGCTTGACGACATACGGACGTCGTGTGACGCTTGAGCCAGTTGTCGGCCTGCATGCTCTCCTGCGTGTGGCCCTTTCCGGCGCTATCGCAACTCTGTCGATTAGCTGCATATGTGCCCTCCACAATAAACTTACTGCTTAATTCACTACATGCTTATCTATCAACTTAAACAGGACACAAAAGCATTCAGCCGGGATAAATCACTCACAAATTTGTCCGAATGTGTTGAACCGTTCCAATAGCACAAGAAAGCGTTTATTGAGTGGAAGCCTTTTTTATACTAATGAATGCATGCGATCTGTGTGGTGTAGGCTTCACATGTGAAATGAGATATTTTTCCCCAACAGCTTAGAGACACTGTCCTCAGCTGCTGCCCTTGTTTGAAGTTTTCGATGTTATTCTCTTGAAATGATCCTAGCGACACCGTTCGAAGAGATCAGGAACTGACATATATATATATATATATATATATAAATATATATATATATATTTATATATATAATCACATGTCTGAATCCAAACTGTGCCAAACAAATCATGGTGCAATAATCCTTTATTAAAATGAAAGACGTTCCATGATTTGTATGTGGACTGAATACTGCCAGGTTGTCCAAACCTAGGCAAGTGAATTTTCTTGAGAAATCCACAACCGGAGCCTTCGGCTAGCTAAGCCTAACTCGCAAGTTTGCGGGACGGTGTGTGAAAACCGCAATCCATTGGGGGCCGGTATCCAGTTCATCGGATCATACGCCCTTCAGACGGGGTCAAACGTCCAAGGTGCCCAATTGAGCCGGTGACAACTGCCCCAACCGGGAAGGTGTGGGTGTGGTTCGTACACCTCATGGTTGGTTTGGAATCAGGGTTTTCGGGGACAGTATCGGTTCTTACAACCATCCTGTTTTCCTGTTCATTGATCGAGTTAGTGCACTTTGCGATAGTTAACTCGAAACCCATAACTAAGTGTGTCATGTGACAAGAAAAATTAATCGATGGAAGGGACTTGATAAACTGATTCAAGCACGAGTGAAGTTTATGATTCACAAAATCATACATGTACGAGTCTGTGCGTAATGTAATCCTGACCCCCACCCGGTGCAACCACAGATGCATATCAAGAAGCTAGCCTTGTGTTCCAGCACATCGCTGACCACTACTTTCTAATCGGAATTAGATTATGTTGATCGAAATACCACGCTTAACCTGTTTGCGCCTTGTGTGGTTCATCGCTCTAAGTCCCGAGGCTTAGGTTTCCGTTGTCCATCACTGAGCAGCAGCAGGTCCTCGTGACCATGAGGGTTCCCACCCGCCTGCTGTTCATCACACTAAGGTGTGTAGTACAAAAAATCATCATCCAATGTGGACGATTTTCCGTCTGTTTTGTTGTATGTGGTTCATTTGCCAGTCGTTGAAGGTGACCAGAAGAATGAACTAATACACGTTGGGAACCATTAGCATTCTGTTCGCTCTCTTTGATGGTCGACGTAAAGCAACCGTGGCACCATCACAACATTCGGTTGTCTGTTAAGAGTCGAGTGTATGCCGCGGCAGTTCGACCAGTGCTCTACGGTGCAGAGATTGGGCCATTAAAGGAACAGAATGAAAATAGATTGTCGCCAACCGTCAGACGTGTTGCATTGACTATGTTGTCTGAAAGCGGAACCAAGTTTGTTTGTTTGTGTGTGTGTGCGTGTATCTGGTTGTCATAATATCTTTTTTTCAAATCGGAGAACACGGTTAGTTAAGCTCATGAGTTGCGTAACCTTGTACAACTGTTGGGTAACCATGGTGGTGGAAATCTGTCACCGATTAGTTATATGGAACTATTCTCACTCACCTATCCCGTTTGCTCTTTACCCCATTGTTATCTCAGACCACCGGATTTATTTTGGAGGCATTCAAACGTATCCAATTCAATTTACTGATGCAAAATCGAGATCCGTAAGTGATTTTTATCTGAAACTAGTGGTCTGTTGTTGAGTATACTTTGTGCGTTTATTTTCTTGGTCGAATTGTTATTTGGATTTACCCACATGCAAATACTGACTAGACCCCTGTCGTTTTGCAAAAGACTGTTCTGTTGTGATTTTTTCGGCACACCCGGGACTGAAACATGTGTGAACATGTAATAATCATGAAAATTGCTTGTTCTATTCGCACGTGATGATGACCGTCGGCCGTTTAGCTCAGGGGTAAGGGTTTGGAGTCCCAACCCGAAAGTTCGCGGTTCAAGTCCGGACAGGGGGACACAAAAGATACACATTGCTGACGAGACCCGAAAACAGGACCAAACAGCTATCCAGTGCTCTTTGTTGGTTATCTTAAACATGTCCATCGCATTTAAATGCATTAAACTGGTGGGGAATTAACGATTTTCCAAAGAGTGAAACTCACACCGAAGATCATCAAGAGGGCCTGGTGCCTCTGAACAATAATCGAATGGGCTAATCCAAGTTAACTACTAAAAATAATAATAATAATAATTCACTCGAACTAGCCAGACTAGAACTATTTCTTTATTCTTTTTAACTTAGTCCCACAGTCTCCCATTCTGATGTTGCACCTAACCCCTCACAGATGGTGTTTGACCATAGTTTCTCTTATCTCTCTATTCTCTCTATCCTTTTTCACTCACTCTCTCTCTCTCTCTGTTGCAGGGTTTTCAAAAATATGTCCGGTCCGTATTACTTCCCTATCGGCTGGGTGGAGGAGGTGAGCCATGGTTTTCTTTCGTTTGCATCGCTCATTCTTGTCACAGTTTTCCCCTGCCTACACACACACACATCTAACTCATTCTGTCACGATACCATTGTTTTGTTGATTCTGTCGTTCGTTCGTTTTTCTCTTCACTGATTTCCTGCCTCTGCACACCTTAATCAAAAATTGGACAGTAGTGCTTGTCTGTATTTGTGTATCCCATGCCCTGTTGCATGCTGTCGTTTCCCCTTATGTGTCTGTGGACCTTAGAGTTCGCAATACCAATTTGTCGACAGAATGATTCCACCATGGTTGGACGATTCTCTAATCTTATCGTACACCTCCACCCGCCCCCGCCACCCCAATCTGTCCAAAAAGTGCACAGAAACGGTCCACATTTCATTTTGTTTTGCCCACGTGAACCGATGA